CACCACCGTTTTGGATGATATGCTATCCACATGAAATATTTATATCCTATTGTACTTTTTAAATAATTTTCAAGGAACTTTCATACTGCTTTCCACATCCTCACCAACACTTGTTATTTTCTTGTCTTTTTGATAGTAGACATTTTGACAGATGTGAGTTGATATCTCACTGTGGTTTGATTTGCATTTCCCTGATGATTAGTAATGTCGAGCACCTTATGTACCTGTTGGCCATCTGTACGGCTTCTTTAGGGAAACATCTATTGAGTTTCTCTGTCCATTTCTTAATGATCATTTATTTTCTACTGAGTTGTATTCATTCTTTATATGTTGGTTATTATATGTTGGAAAAAATATATTTTTATATGTGGGATATTAATCCTTTATCAAATGTATGATTTTTTAATATTTTCTCCTACTCTGTAGGTTGTCTTTTCATTTTGTTGATTATTTCCTTTACAATACAAAAGCTCTTTAGTTTGGTTTTGTGTTTTGGTCTGTTTTTTTTTCTTTTACTAATTGTCTTTGCTTTTGGTGTGAAATTAACAAAATCATTGCCAAGCCAATGTCAAGGAGCTTATTACCCTCTTAAGTGTCTTCTAGGAATTTTATGGTTTCAGGTCTTATGTTCAAGTCTTAGTTTAATCCATTTTGAGGTGGGGGGTTTTGGTTATAGATTTAGTCTCTTCACCTGTAATTGGTCTGTTCAGATTTTCTGTTTCTTCCTGATTCAGTCTCGGTGGGTTTTGTTTGTAGGAATTTATCTGTTACTTCTAGGTTATCCAATATATTGGTGTATAATTGTTTATAGTCATCTCTTATGATCTTTTGTCTTTCTGTAGTATCAGTTGTAATGTCACGTCTTTAATTTCTGACTTTATTTCAGGACTCTGTTTTTCTCAGTGAGTCTAGCTAAAGGTTTGTCTCTTTTGTTTATCTTTTCCAAAAGCCAGCTCTTAGTTTCATCGATCTTTTCTGCTATCTTTTCAGTCTGTAATTCTTTTATTTCCACTCTGATCTTTGGTATTTTCTTCCTTCTACTAATTGTGGGCTTAGTTTGTTCCTTTTCTAGTTTCTTGAGGTATAAATTTAGGTTGTTTGAGAACTTTCTTATTTCTTGATGTAGGTATTTATCACCATGAACCTCCTCTTAGGACTGCTTTCGCAGCACCCCATAAGTTTTGATATGTTGTACTTAATTTTTCATTTGTTGCAAGACTGACTTCTTTTTTGGCTTCTTCAGTAGCACTTTGTTTAATCACATACTTGTGAATTTTCTGGGTTTTTTTAGTAATTGCTTTCTAGTTTTATACCCTTGTGATCCCAAATGATGCTTGATATGATTTCAGTCTTGAGTTTATTGATACTTCTGTTGTGGCATAATATATAATCTGTCCTGAAGAATGTTCCATGCACACTTTAGAAGAATGTATATTCTGCTGACTTTGGATGGATTTGGTTAATATCTGTTAAGTCCATGTCATCTAATGTATCATTTAAGTTCAGTGTTTGCTTACTGATTTTCTGTCTGGATGATCTATTGTTGATGAAAGCAGAAAATTGAAGTTCCCACTGTAACTGTATAACTATCTGTTTCTCCCTTTAGGTCTGTTAATATTTGCTTTATATATCTAGGTGCTCCTATGTTAGGTGTGTAATTATTTATAAATTGTTATAACCTCTTGTTGGATTGAGCCCTTTGTCATTATATAATGACCTTCTTTGTTTTTTACTCCAGTCTTTGTCTCATGTAAGTATGGCTACCTCACCTTTCTCTGATTCCCATTGGAATAGAGTATCTTCTTCCATTCTTTCCCTTTCAGTTGTGTGTGTCCTTACATCTGAAGTGAGTCTCCTGTGGGCAACATGGAATTAGGTTTTTAAGGCTTTCAGCCACTTTTTGTCTTTTGATTGGAGAATTTAGTCCATTTATGTTTGAAGAAATGATTGATGTACATGAACTTACTGCCATTTTGTTCATTGATCTCTGGCTGTTTCCTGTGTACCTTTCTTGTTCTCGTGCTCTCTTCCTTTGTGATTTGATTATTTTCTGTAGTGGTATGCTTAGATTGCTTTCTCTTTATTTTTTATGTGTCTGCTATAGGTTTTCGTTTTGTGGGGGCCATGAGGTTGACGTAAAACAACTTAGAGTTATTACAGTCTATCTTAAGTTGATAATAACTTAGGTTTGAATACATTCTAAAGCTCTACATTCTTATTTTTACTCTCCTTCCTTGCCACACATTTAAAAAAGATCTCAACATTTATATCTTTATCATGTATATCCATCGTCAAAGTATTGAGGGTTATAGTTATTTTTACTATTTTTGTCTTTCAGCATTTATACTAGATTTATAAGTGGTCAACCTACCACCATGACATTATTCTTAACTATAAATTTACCTTGCCTGTGAGATTTATACTTTCATGTGTTTTCCTGTTACTAATTAGTGCCCTTTTATTTCAGCTTAAAGAAGTCTTTTTAACATTTCTTGTACAGCTGGTCTAGTGGTGATGAATACCTTCAGCTTTTGCATGTTTGGAAATCTTTTATTTCTCCTTCAGTTCTGAAGGACGACTTGGCCAGGTAGAGTATTCTTGGTTGGGTTTTTTTTTTTTTCTTCCAGCACTTTGAATTTATTGTGCCGTTCTCTTCTGGCCTGTCAGGTTTCCACCTAAACATCTCCTGATGGTCATATGGGGGCTCCCTTGTTTGAGACAAGTGTTTTTCTTTTATGCTTTTCAGATTTTCTCCTTGTCTTTAACTCTTAACAGTCTAATTATAATGTCTCTTTGGATTCATCTTTTTTTGAAATTCTAAGCTTTCTGTATGAGATGTCTGTTTCCTTACCCTGGTTAGGGAAATTTTGCAGTCATTATTTCTTCAAATAAGCTTTCTGCCACTTTCTCTGTTTTTTCTTCTGGGACCCCTATGATGCAAAAGGGTCTGCTTGGTGTCCCGTAAGTATCTTAAGTTTTCTCCACTGTTTTTCACTCTTTTTTTTCTTCTGGCTGATCTGATGGGAGGAGTTGCATTACCCTGCCTTCTAGTTTCCTTATCCTTTCTTCCACTTCATCGAGCTTGCTACTGAAACCTCTGTTGATTTTTTTCATTTTATTTATTGTATTCTGCACCTCTGTGATTTCTGTTTGGTATTAATATTTCCTATTTGTTGAAATATGCATTTTGTTCATATATTGTTCTCCTGAACTCAGCTGGCATTTTTATGACCATTATTTTGAGTTCTTTATTAGGTAAATTACTTATTTCTGTTTCACTAGGGTCTTTTCCTGGGTTTTTACCTTGTTCTTTCATTTGGAACATACTCCTCTAATTCTTCACTTTTCTTGACTCTATGTGTTGGTTTTCTGTGCATTAGATAAAATAGCCACCCCTTCCAGTCTTGAAGGAGTGGCCTCATGTAAGAGATGAACCTTATTTTTCAACCTTGTCCTAGCTCTTAGTTTTCTCTCAGGTGTTTGTGATTGCCCAGCTTACGTCGTGTGTAGTGGCTCCCAGCAGGTGAGGGTGGGCCAGACCTATCAGTGTCCCTGAGGGGAGGATTTCAGTGAGCCCCTAGATGCAGCCGAATGAAAGTTGCTTTTTAAAGTATGCAAATACTTTGTAAATACTCTCTCAGGGTAAGATGGGAGATAGGCTTTTCTCTCTGTTTCCTCTGCACCAAGCCCTGAGTGGGTAACCAGTGAAGAACTGTTTCCTTGTTTGCTATGATTCCATTGACTGTGTGAACACCAGCCCCGCTGGCCACCAGAGCCAGGCTACCACAGATGTGTCCTCTGGGCAGCGGCCACAAGAGCTGGGACGCTGGATGTGTGCAAAAGCTCCATTCACAGACACCAGTGACCTGGGGTGGGGCAGAGGCAGAGTGTGAATATGGCATCTGCTGTCCTCCCCATTTCTAGAAAGGATTGCAGTCGGTCCCTACATATTGTTAAATTATAAGCCTGACCTACAGGCTGCATCATTTACAATCTGTAAATAGGTCTCTCTCAAGGAAAGACTGAGCATTTCATTCTGCTGCCTCTGAGCTATGCCTTGTGGGTATAGCTAGTTAGGAGCTATTACTCTGTTTGTTACAGTCCTGGGAGACCCAGGAATATAAGCACAGCTGCCCACCCGCACCAGTCAATCGAGGGGTATGCTCCCTAAGCAGTAGCTGCAAAAGCCAGGGTATCAGACATGCACGAGCCCCTTTCCCAGAGATACCAGCGACCTGGAGTGAGGCGGAGGAGAGCATGAAGTTAGGGCCTGCTAGCCTCCCTGGTCTCTGTACAGTATGCCAGTGGTATCTAAATTAGAAGCGTATTCCTCAGGCAGATTGTTTAAGGTAAGCAAATAGGCCTCTATCCGCACAAGACTTCTGATTTCAGCCTCCTCTGCACAGAGCCCTGGGAGGACAGCCACGTGAGTCCATGTGAGCCCCTTACAAACCGTGTCTTAGTGCAGAGCAGCTTTGTGAGTCTCTGGGACCCAAGCTCCATTGGCTTTCAGAGAGGTGTTTTGGGGATCCATGTCTCAGGTGGAAGTCTTAAAAGCTGAGGTGTCAGATGTGGAGTCCAAACTTCTTGCTTCTCAGGAAGAGCCTGGGAACCCTGAGCTGCCCTCTGGATGTGTTGCCCCACCTGGGTTGGTGTTACGGTGAGCGTGTGGTCGGTCGCCTTTCCCAGCTATTTTGCTGTGAGTTTTTTCTCATTTGCCTCACATGTAGGGGTCACTCAGCCAGTTTCTGGGTTTTTTTCAAAGGGAACTGTTCGATACGTAGCTGTGCATTTGGGTGTGTATGGGAGGAAGTGAGTTGCGGAGCCTACTCTGTTGCCATTTTGACCCTGAACTCTCCAGTAAAGTCTTGTAGATAATTGTCACAGTCGTCCTATTTGGGGGACCTGAAACATGGTGAACAGTATATCCCAGCTGTTTCGAGCCGTAGTCCTGTGCTCTCTTTCCCAGCCCTGACCTCACAGCTGCCTTGTGATTCCAGAAAAACAACTGCGTGCTGCCTGAGGATGTGAAGAATTTTTACCTGATGACCAACGGCTTCCAGATGACGTGGAGTGTGAAGCTGGATGGTGAGTCAGCCCCCTTGCTGTAGGGGAGCACCTCCCTGCCCGAGAGGTGAGAGGAAACAGCTCGGAGGGCCTTGACGACTTCTGCAGCTTTGAATCCGAACAGTTTTCATGGGTTCTTCCGAAGTGCAGTGTCCAGAAGCGGTGACCAAAGCTAAACGATGCCGTCATTTCTTCTCCCCCGACCCTCGTGCCAGAGTTTAGTCTGGACTTAACTGGAAGCTTATTGTGGAGGTTCCCTGTTGAAATGAGGTGGAGGAAAAATTACCGCTACCCAAAAGTCTTGAGCCACCTCACATTTAAAGCCTCTGAGGACTTCACCTCAGAGCAGCCTCTCAGGGTGGCTGCAGTGACAGCCTCTGGTGGTCACCTGAGGGGCTTCTTCCGTCACTCCCCACACATTGAAGACCTCAGGGCTCTGGCCCTTGGACCGGAGCCTGTTCTACCCTCGCTCACATCTCTCAGCCGGAGCCACCAGCCACTGCAGTGCTAGATGTGTCCCGGACAGACTTCAGTGTTGCAGATGTGGGAGCGCATGCAGCACACCAGGGGTTTAAGTTCCACATAGACATGAAAGGTGGTGCTGCACATTTAGGTGCAGACTAGTAAAATTTCAGAGGCTGGGAAATGCTGGTTTCGGCCCTGGAGTCCAGCCGTTCCTGGCGCAGACCTTCCTGTCCCCGGGAGGCTTTTATTGCCTCCAGATTCCAGCCACTTGCCCAAGTCTCCTTCGGTCCTCAGGAAGCACCCTCTCCTCTCCGTGCAGAGATTTCTGTTGCACAGCACAATAAATCGGCAGAACTGGCCTCTCTCCTTCACTGCCTCTGCCTCCCGAGTTTCCCTTTTTTGGTGATTTCCAAAGCCTTCCTGTCTCTCTCTCACAGATGAGCAGGGGCACTTTTCATAGTTTACTACTGAGTGTTTAACATGAATTTTCCACTTAAAATATTTCCCTTGGATGTTCTAGAAACCATTCTAGTCACCAGTAGCAGAGCCTGCCTTCGCAGCATGGTCGTGGGCTTTGGAGTTTAGCACAGCAGCGAGAGGGGACAGAATCTAGACTGTCAGAATCTCCCTTGCCCATGTCATGGAGATGGGTTAGCCTCTTCACAAGCCTGCTTCAGAAAAGGAACGGTTCATGCAGCTTTTATGAATGAGTCCCTCTTCATTATGACTATACCTTCTCTAATAATCCTCCGGACTCATCTTCGCATCCTTATCCCCATTACCTTACCCATATTTTTACTGGACAGCTAAAGTCAGGACAGAAAAGCCAGCGGAGGCAGCTTCTAACATTCACCTCTTTAGTGGTGTTTTCTTCTGGGATGGTCGGGGGTCTGTACACCAGCTGCTCTGTGGCCTCAGCCCTTCCAGGCTTCAGCAGGCAGATGTCTCAGTCTGTGTGTGCCGTCTGTGTCCAGCATCCTATATTGCAGAGGTTCTGTATGATAGGCAAGGAAAATATGCCGCCTGTGTATTTCTTATTCCCACCCTAATCACAGAAAACTGGAACCAAGCAAGAGTCCTGCTAAGTTTTCTCCACTGAATAAGGAAAAATGAAGTAGAGGGTGAGATATTTTCCATTGTGAAAGCTTATAACAAGAAGAGTAGAAAAAGGGCCAGGTATGTAATCCAAGCTATTTCTCATCTGAAAAGTACATATAACTCATGATGCAAGGGAAAGAAGGAGCAAAATCATCTTTAAGTCCTTTGCCCTCCAAACAGGACTCTTGCCCTAGACTTCCAGTTCCTCCTGTGTATCCCCTTGTTGAATTTTCTTCAATACTCTGCCCTTACACATGCCATAGGGACTCTTCACCTGTGGCCCCAGTTGCTTTTTTGCATGAAAAGCAGGTGCTTTAAAGCATGTAGTTCATCGATTCTCTTCTTTCTACTTTCTATCAGATGCCTCTGCCCTAGGGTCAAACAATAGGCGGGCTTAGGTTACTTAAGCAGAAGTCCTGCTGATAACCATGTTACTAGGCTGTTACTCCATGTAATTCTTTTTTTCTTTTTAATGTTCCCATAGAGCATGCCATCCCATTGGGCAGCATGGAAATTAATAGCATCACAAAACTGACTCAACTCAACCAGTCTTCCATGTACTCACTTCCTAATGCACCAACTCTGGCTGATCTGGAGGATGATATTCAGGAAGGTACTGGGGGGACTTCTGCTCCGAATTATTAATTAGCCTGCTTGTTGCCCTGTGATGTTGAAAACCACGGGAAGATGATGTGGCATTGTGATATGTTCCCCCAAGTCCTTTCCAGTTGTGGCTTCTCAGGGCCATGGAGTGAGATAAAAACAGCCTGCATCAAAGGAAATTTCCATGAAGGAATGCCAGAGTTGGGATCTTCTTTTGTTTCTCAGTGTCTGGCACATTGCAGATACTTAGTGAATACTTGGTAAATGAATGAATGTTACAGATTAAACTTCACTCAGCACTTCAGTATCAAGAGGTTGCTGGGAACCTGGGAGTCTAAATGTAGCTCCCTTCCTCCCTCCAAGCTCTTTGCCACTTCTGACTGAAATGCCTAATAATTCAAACAGCTACTAAAAGCTTTGAGCGAGTCTGAGAAGTGAGAACTTCGTCAGTCAGAATTGTGTTTGGCTGCTTATAACAGGGACCCAGTTACAATGTCTAAACTAAACAGATTCTAGTTTTTAACAAGAACTCTGGAACCAGGATAAGATAAAGTCTCCCTTCGGCCTCCTGGCACGTCACCTTTGGGTCTGGTTTTTGTCCCCATAGTGAGAATTGTGGGCTGTGCCTCCAAGCTTCAGGTCTATGTTCCAGGCAGGAGAAAGAGGAAAGGGCAAAAAGAAAACCTGTCTCGTGGCAGAATCTTTTCCTCCTCAATCAGGAAAGCAATAGTTCTCTCACAAGCCCCTCCCAGTAGGCATTAGTCAGAACAAAGTCAAAAGGTTACCACCCAGTCACTGCAAGGGAATGTGAGGAGGTATGTTTAGCTGTGCAGTATTGATTGCCTCTTCAAGCAGAATTGGGATTTAAATAAGAGCAATAAAAGAACAGAACAGAAAAGAGAATGAGTATTGTGTAGGCAACTAGCATCTCTAGTACTAAGGCCTTGGGGTGCACTGAAGTCTTGACAGACAGAACTGATACAAGGCTTTCTCCTTCACCTGGACACGCTGCTGCTTGGCAGCAGTGTTGAGATAGGAGGAGGCCAGCAGCTGAGACTGGAAAGTGATGGACCCTGGGAAAAGCCTGTCGCTCAGAGATGTGTAGAATTCTCCAAGGTGGGAAAAAGTCACACCGACTTTCATCTGTGTGTGCTGGGGCCCGCTAACCTCTCAAAGACAAAGTCGTTAAATCGGCAGACTAGGTCCTCCTGCCCTTGAGGCTGGGGGAGTAGAGGCAGACGAGACACCAGAGAGGATTGCAAGGGGCTTCAGCAGAGGGCCAAGCTGCAGTGGAGACCATGTTGCCCTACATGCTCGTGGGGAGGAAGGCCACTTGGGCTCTTGGCATCTGGGCTTATGCTTTTTAGGTAGTCCAACAGCTAGGCCTAAGTCGCATTCAACCCAAGGAGAAAAATACTGACTTTTCTCAGGGAACTCAGCAGTCAGAAAACAATAAGGAAGAAATATCAGAGTACACTCCCAGAGAAATAAAACTGCTAGAGGACACAAATGAAAACCTAAATAAAAAGAATAAGGACACTTAAGAACATTTAAGACAAAACAGACTTCCTATAGAAAAAAACAGATTTTTTGATTAAACAACTGACTAGATGAATTGAGGACTATAAACGTTGAGACCTGAACTGTCTGTAAAATACAGTGCAAAAAATATTTAAAAGCACAAATGAGAAATTTTAAAAGGGGGAAAGTAGTAAGGTAAGAGAAATAGAAAATAGATTCAGGAGACTTTCTATTGGAATTATAAGTGCCCAAGAAAAAGAATAGATGGAAAAGCAATAAATGAACACTCACAAGAGAAAACTTCTCTGAAGATTGGAATAGTTCTAGACCCAAATTGAATTCATGGGAAAACAGACAGTTAGGCATTGCGTGATATGGAAAAAAACTACATGCTTCTAAGTAAAAATAACAAACTACTGGTGAAGGAATAATCAGACTTCTCACCTCAACAGTGGGAACCAGAAGACGGTGGAAGAGCACACACAGGTTCCTGACAGAAGTGAAAACCAAGCGTTCTGAATTTATATATGAAACACACCTCGCAGACAGGTTATAAGGCTTATTAAAGAATGTGTTAAACTTCAGGAACATAAATTTTAACCAAAAGATAATGAAACTGAATGCACATCTCAAGATGTGGATAAGGAGAGGGGAAAGGAAATAAGGGATTAGTGAATCTCCTCAAAGAGAATGTATGTGCACACGTGTATTTAAAATCAAATTCCGGTCAAGATGGCAGAGTAGGTCAACGCTGTGTGCCCCTCCTCTCACAGCCATATCAAAGCTGCAAAGCTCAGTCATGGAACCACCATGACTGAGAACCGCCTAAAGACTGGATGAACAGAAGCCCTGTAGCCAAGGAGATAAAGAAGCAGCCACGAGACTGGGGAGGGGCGTGGAACAGGCATGTCCCACACCCACAGTGCAGTGATTAAGAATCAGGAGGGATATCTCTGCTGCCGAGGGTCCCCCCTGAGGAGCAAGCAGTCACAGCCCCGCCCCAGGCTCCCCAGCCCAGGGAACCAGCCCAAGGAAGAGGCGTCCCCATAACATCGGACTGTGAAAACCAGGGAGATTGTCTGCAAGTGAGACAGAGGCCTGCCAGAGATCCAGGAGCTCCTCTTGAGGGGCCCACAGATGCCCTTTCTTGCAAACAAACTCAGTTGATCTAAGTGCCAGTGCTGGGGCAGCAGCTCAAATAACAGCAGAGACGCAGGGGAGCTAAACTGACTGGCTTCAGGGCAAGAACCTGAAGGGCAGGGGTTGGGGCAGCTCTCTCCCGGGATGAAAGTGCTGATGAGGACCATCATTCCCTTGTCGAGCCCTCCCCCCAGCCAGTGTGGCACAAGCGGGCACCAAGTCCTTGGTCTCCGTTAACCTGGCTAACACTGTTGGCCCTGCCCTGGTGATTTCCTGAGACCCCCATCCCACCCAACTCGCGAGCTCCGCCGAAGCTGCTTCCAGTGGCTTTTCCACAGGAGCCACCTGAATGGACTCGTGCTGCAAACCTTCCTAAAATCACTCAATCCACAAACCCCAAACGAGCAGCCACTGACCTCAGCATGCCCTGTACCTCTCGCTAAGCAGCTCCAAGTGTGGCGCCAGTGACGGCCCATCTCAACTTACACTGTAACTCCCATCAGGTGTCCCAACCTGGCCTTGGGGGCAAGCGGTCTGGGCTGGGGCCATAGCTGCAACTAAGTGGCCCCACGCTTGGCACATGTGATGGTTCTACAAGGTGTATGTAGTAAGGAGCAGGAACCTTCGAGTTCTGCATATCACACTTGGTTAGAGAAATAATAGTTGTTTCCAAGTAAGAGTAGAGTCATGTGTACCCAATCACGCAAGCAGACAAATGAAAAGGAAGATAACCACTAACAGAATTTTAAACAGTACATTAAAATTGCTAATCTAATAAGGGAAATGTTAAATCACATGAATAAAAAGAAAAAGGGAAAGGAAGAAACAACATCATAAAATGACAAAGCATTAAGAGGAAACAGTGCAATCATTACATTAAATATGCTGAGATTGGCTTTGGAAAACAGAGACTGTCAGGTTGATATAAAAAGCCCAGCTCTTCTGTGTCCTTTCCAGGACCGTACTGAGACTGGAAAAGAGACTTCCTCTTCTGGTAATGGCAGGTAGGTGATTCAGAGCAGCCTTCCTGCTGAGGACAGCTGAGAGGTCAGGGCAAAATGTAAAGACCGTCTAAAAACATCAAAGAGCTAACAAAGTAATGAGGTAGTAGTGGGTCAACGTCCAGAAGGAAACAGAAATCCAGGGAAGAGGCTCAACATTTGGGGTTGCTTTTGCCTGGGGTACATTGTCCTTTTCAAAAGAGACGAGAGGCTGCTGCAAAGCTGAGACTCTGGCCCGTGTGGGAGATGAGGGGCAGGGTGGGGTCCAAGAACTACACCAGGTGGCACCCATAACACCGCTGTCCTTCGGGTGGGCGCCACCCTAGATGACAGAATGAACCAAAGGTAACCACTCTCACGTGGACTGAAGCTCAGGTATAAGTCATCTGTGTGTCCCGGAAAATGCTAACTCCCTAAACTAGACTAAATTGATCCCAGATTACTAGACATCTCAGGGGCCTGGCAGCAAGGAACAGAAGCTCATTCTCGAGAAGCACTCTAAAATCGATGGTGTCGTGGCTGCACGGCTCTGTGAACACACTGAAGACCACGGAATCGCACTCGGCGAGTGAGTGCGTGTATGGTAGGTGAGTCCCAGCGCAATAGAAAGCTCTGCTGTCGAAAGAAAATTCTATCTCAGAGGAAGAGAGCATTATTCTAGGCCTCAACTTGTTTTTATAAATGATTTTTCAAAAGATAATTTCTATTGAATAACCAGGGACATTAAAAAACACACCATGAATAACGGCCAGCACAAATAACAGATAAAAGACCCACCGGTGCTCCCAAGGGTGAGATGATTAGGTACAGACAGTGTACTAATGGACATAAAACCAAATGCATTTTATCGAGGAACTAATGACAGTGACATTGCAGATTTTTTAAAAAAATCGAATGCTAACCTTCTGCTTTTGGTCACGATGGTCTACCTTTTATCAGATCAAGACTTAGGCCAGTAATACTCTAAAATCTGGAAAAAAAATTATAACAGGTAAAAGGGCTGGAGAGTAAGCAAAACGAGCAGAAACTGGAGTGGCATCTACAAATGGCAGCAGGAACCGCACTGAATGAGTTTCCTGTTCTTTTAAACTTTACACCTGAGGGCAGACCTCAGCAGACCCGCTAAAATCTGGTGGGACCCTACAGTGTGGACTTGTGATTTCATCCACAACGGAATAACAGACTAGATGTATCCTCCAACCTGGAACAACAATAGAAACAGAATATATATTATCCATGACAGTGGGTTTCAAGACACATCAGGCAACAGAGGACAGTGAGCTGAGAAATGAGAAACAAACGAGGTGAACCCCAGCTTCTGACTTGAGCTCCCCGTCTACAGCGCAGTGCAGGGAACCCGAGCAGAGCCTCCCGCACTCGGGAACTGCGAGGTCAAAGCTGAGACCCCAGCGAGAGGAGGACAGCTCGAGTTCACAGGACTGAGTTACAGAAGACATTTTTGGTTTCCCAGTGCATATAAAAGTTATGTTTATAGTGTACTGTAGTCCATTAACTATATAATAAAGAGCATTATATATAAAAATGTGCATACCTTAATTACAAAATACATTATTGCTAAAAAATGCTAACCGTCCTCTGCATTTTCAGTGAGTCATCATCTTTTTGCTGGCAGAGGGTCTTACCTTCAATTTGTAAAAATGCAAACATCTGTAAAGCACAATAAAGCGGAGCTCAATGAACGAGCTGTGCCTGTAGTGAAAATACCAGAACACAAAGACATGCCCAGAGGTGGTCACCGTAGCTCTCACTGCAGAGTGACGACGGGGGAGGGCCTGTCAGTGGGGTGTGGTGGGATAAATTAGGGTGCACGCTCTCCCACAGACTATCCAGGCAGCCTGAACAAGAGCGCACTTCAGTGACACCAGATGTCTCGAGGGCTTTCCCTCTAAGGGAAGGCCGTGTTGCAAGATTTAGAAACGTGTATGATACCCCATTTTTATACAGTGAACACTCTTGGCAGTATTTGAGTGTACGTCTCTGTCTGTCTAGGACCGTGTGAGATCAAGAAGAATATAAAGGTAGAACCTCTAAGGGAGGGGAAAGCCAAGTTTTAAAAAAACCCCAAAACATTCTTAATTAGAAATATAAATTTTAAGATTTTTTTTTATTTTTAGAGAGGGGAAATTAGAAGGAGAGGGAGAGAAACATTAATCTGTGGTTGCCTCTCGTGCACCCCCCGGGGACCTGGCCCGCAACCCAGGAATGTGCCCTGACTGGGAATCAAACCAGCGACTCTTTGGTTCGCAGGCTGGTGCTCAATCCACTGAGCTACACCATCCAGGAGAAAATAGAAATATTTATACATTTATATAGAATTGATGTATATATGTGTATGTACGTTTATAACTCAAAATGCCATGTTTATATTCTTTGTTGTATCTGATTTCTACTAGGCTTGTAAACTCTCTGCACCCAATTACTAATGCTCACCTTTACTGTACTAGCGTTTTATTGTACTTTACTGTACTCACATTTACTAGCTGTAATGAAAGACGCAGGGGAGAGGGTTGCAGGTGCTGGCATTTCTAAGAATCTGTCCTTTTCTCTGGTACTCCATAATACTTGATTTCTAGGTGGGTATTTCTAACTTCAGCCAGACTTAGTATTAATCATAACATAGTTAATGATAACATTATAATTAAATTTTTACTTTAGACTGAGGACAGGGGATTCTAAGCAAAAGATCATAAAATGCCATAAATAAGGGGAAAGCAGTTACATGGGAAAAGAAAAAATTATGTCAACATCAAGCCACGCAGATTTCCCTGCCTTTGTGTCGTCCCAGTGCGTTGCCCAGATCCGTGACTCTGTCTGTATGCAGTGGGGAGCCCGGACAGAAGGCCCGGGGGCGTCCAACCTTTGGGCATATTTGGGCCACACATTAAACACAGTGTGACACATAATCACAGAAAAAACTCATCCTGTTTTAGGTAAGTTGACGATTTTGTGTTGGGCCTCATTCACGGCCATCCTGGGCTGCGTGTGGCCCGCAGGCTGCAGGCTGGGCACCCCTAGTGAAGTCCAGGGCATTCAGAGTAGAGAATTCATTTGGCCCACATTTGAAAGCAATATTTAAGAATATGTCTAGGATAGGATAGATAGGCTTTGGCCCCAGTTGGTTTTTTTTTTAACTCTAGCTAAGCTGGAGGAGTAGGTATGTGTTGGCGTTGAGCATGTTTGAACATTACCGTTACCTTCTGGGTTTGCAGCCTGTGAGAACGAGCCAGAGAAGCCTCACTTTGATTCTCGCAGCGTGATATTTGAGCTGGACCCTTGCAATGGGAATGGGAAGGTTTGCCTTGTCTACAAAAACGGGAAACCAGGTAAGAACCATTGGCTAGCGTGGCCCTGTAGTTCAGTGTAGCCTTGGCTGACCTTGCTCTCCAGCCATCACACAAAAGGCCCGTTTCCCCCTGGCCTCCTGAGACACACCGCCAGGTGTCTCAGAGGTGCCAGGACCCCTCGGGGCATCCCCCTCCAGGCCAACACTAGACTCTTTTTAAGCTATCATGATTTGTGAGTTATCACAAAATAATAGGATTGAAATAGTAAGTGAATAAAAACTAAAAGAAATTGTCATTCTGTTCCTAACTCCTCCCGCAGAGCAGGCTCATGCGATAGGAAAGCATCCAGGAAAAACATTATCTTTCTTCAATGCTTCTTTATGTAGGCTGATGAACAGCAATAGAAACTTGAATTATTACTAAAGGCTCTCACCCCTTGAGCAGGGGCCACTACCTGGCCACTTGTCACCAAATCGGGCCCTGGCCTAGGGACCATGAAACCACAAAGCTGTGAACCAATGTCCAGCTGTCTTCAAGTAGCTCTTTGCCTGGTAGGGGTGAGGGGATACACCAAGATTATCCTTACCCCTGTAGAGAGAGAGATGGTCTTCAGCTATAGGAATCGTTGTGAAATAGCCTTTGAGCTGCATCTTGAATTATGGGTAGGAATGAGACATTTGGGGGAATGAAATGGGCATTCAAGCTAAGAGATACGAGTAAAAGCCATGCCCTAGGAAAGAGCCACTTATTGGGGGGAAAGGACAAAAAATTCCAATTCACTGGTCCCCCAAGGTTCATCTTGTGGATGAAAAGGCAATGGAGCCAGAGGGCCGGTTGTTCCCCTCCGTGTGAAGTTTTGAAAGCCAGATGAAGGAATGTAAACCTAACTTAGAACAGAGCAGGGACTTGAGGATGCTCGGGAGAGTGGCAGGATTCAAATGCAAATGTCTGAGACCACAAGCAGTTTGGGAAGAGGAAAGGACCAGGGGATGGGTGGCACTTAGGGAAATGTTACAGCCATTGGACAGGAGATGCGCCAGGGAGGCCCACCGGGAGTAAGAGTGCAAGGTGAGAAGCAAGTGCGAGGCAGGACCTGGAGCAGCCGTGCCTGCTTCAGCCCAGCCAGGGCAGGACACCTCAGCACAAGCAGGGTTCCCAGGAGAGGGGGCTGGTCTGGGCTCCTCCAAGGTGGCTCATCACAGTGCTTGTGATTCCTCACAGAGACTTCTTCAGAAAGCCAGAGCCATTCAGAGCTTCCCTCCATCAGGAAGGCCAAGACCACAGAATGTCCCCGCTGGGGGAGGGGCACTGCTGCTTGCACACAGAAAAGGGGTGCTGCTTAGGTAGCTGGGTGCCCAGAGGGCAGAAGCCCAGCAGGTAGGTCAGTGGGTTGGTCAGGAATTTGTGAAAGAAGACCAAAGACGTGAACAGCAGCCTCTGGGAATGGGACCGGAGGTTGGAAGAGAAAAAAGGAAACTTTTACATATGTTTTACCATCCCTTCTACTATTGGAATTTTTAAAAACCATGAGTATATATTGACCATACAGATAAAAGGGAAAAATTTAAGCCATCCCTTCATTTGTTTCCTTTGCTGTTTCAGCATTAGCGAAAGACACCGAGATCTGGTTCCTGGACAGAGCATTATACTGGCATTTTCTCACAGATACCTTCACCGCCTACTACCGCCTGCTCATCACACACCTGGGCCTGCCCCAGTGGCAGTACGCCTTCACCAACTATGGCGTCAGCCCGCAGGCCAAGGTGAGGACCACCTGTCATCTCACACTGGAGACTGTGTAAGAGTCTGCTGAGGCAATATCTGCACAGCAGATGCTCAGCTTTCCCGTCTGATTCAGGAGATCTGGGGTGGAGCCCAGAGCCCCGCGTTTTCAATAAGCAAGGCAGGCGATTCCACCTCACTTTATATAATCTAATTAAGTGGTTCCCAAACTTGGCTGTGCCTCAGAATTACCTGGGGAGCGTTTTCTGATCAAATTCTGTCAGGGCCTTCGTCTGACTGTGGGTTTTGGACAGGCAGTGCACGCACGCAGGAATGGGGGAAAGTCGGTTTCCCACTTCCCCGCTCTCCAGCCCCCCCCCCACCCCGTGCACTTCCCCACAGGCAGCCACTGTTAGCAGTTTCTCATGTGCCCTCACCAAGATACTCTGCTGCATGTGGGTTTTGGTTCCTTTTTTCTAATTCATGAGTGCAACATATTACTCACACTGTGGTGTACCTTCTTCCACTCCACGATCCCGATCCGTCCTGGAGCTCACGCGGTATCATACAGAGAGAGCTGTCCTTCTTAATGATGCAGGGTATTCCAGAGTATGGATGTGCCTCGCTTGTATTGCGGATCCTGTCAAACCTACCTGATGGGCAGTGGCTGGTTTGAGGGCAGAACAGTCTGGAGGACAGTGTCCCCTGGGGATTTGGGACCTAGCATCCCAGGCTCAGGGCTCACTAGATTAGGACGTTTACTCAGATTCTTACTGTTCATGGCACATTTACTTTAAAGGCTACGAGACCTCATAAAGCAATGTGTGTGTCATCACTTTCACTTGAAGAGCTAAGAGTTTTGAAGATTTTTTCATTAAAACTTACTCTCTTTGCCTCACTTCTCCAGCACTCCACCCTGGATCCCCCCTACAGAGCATAAACAAGGACATTTCTCCTTTGAATGTGACCCTCTCCCATTTCTGCCTTACAGCAATGGTTCAACATGTACAAGCCCATCACCTACAACACAAACCTGCTCTCCGAAGAGACTGACTGCTTTGTGAACAAGCTGGATCCCAGCAAAGTGTTCAAGAGCAAGAACAAGGTCTTAATCCCCAAAAAGAAAGGGCCTGTCCCACCGGCAGGTGGCCAGAAAGGGCCCTCGGCTCCTCCCTCCACACCTAAAGCCTCCTCTGGCTCTGGAAACCCTGCCCGGAAATGACCACCCCCACCTCTAGCCCCCTGCCAGCCCCACCGGGATGATTTCCATGCACAGAGGTCCCTGGGCAGCCCCAGCCCGAGCACCTCCTCCGGTCTGAGTGACCAGCGTCCCAGGCCCTTCACTCCCACTAGCATGGGCCAGGAGTGAGAAGGGCCTACTCAGGTCTCTCCAAGAGCTGCCCTCTCATACCCTCGCAGCAGGTTGTGCCACCCCCGTCTCCAGAAGCTGGGGAGGAGTTCAGATCTTGCTGAAGTGGCCAAATCTGTTGGGAGCTTCCTCTTTGCCCAGCCACAACCCCCCACCATTCAGCAGTGATTAGAGAAGGCCCCCAAGGAACCACTGGTTTTGACCCATGAGGCATTAGAACTGCAGTGTTCAATTGGTGGCCACTAGTCTCATGAGGCTATTTAAATTATACTAAAAATTCATTTCCTCATTATATATGTTGTGTTATAGCCACATTTTGGATATTCATGTGGCTAGCGGGTTCCATACAGACAGCGCAGAGACACGGGGACAGCTCCTCCACCACAGAGGATGCTGCCGGACAGCACGGCACCACATTCGCACTGCTCCTCTGGCCAGTTCAGTGGTTAGAGACGTCAAAACCGTAATCTGATGAGTCATGGCGTTCCGTGTAAACTCTTGAAATTATATTAGAATGTTCTTTATATCCTTCACCACAAACAAATGCCCCTCTGCTCATTTCTTTTTCAGTTTCCTATAAAGTTTTTTGCTTCCAGTTTTGTGTTGTGATGTTTGCACTTTTACCAAAACTATCTTTCTCCGTTGTTTGGGTTTTTGGTGGGGGAGGGATTCTGCTGCCCACCAACCATTTCAAAACAAACCCTGAGAGCCGTTTTGCAGGACGGCTCATCAAGTGCATTAATGACGCCAGCCCCTGTGGGCGAGCGCGCTCCACCCGCTCACAGCTGGTCAGCCTCGTGTGGAGTGATGGAAAGGACAGACAGGGAACCGGTTTTCAAGGGCAGTAGCTGGAGGTCAGACTTCAGAAGTTTTTGTTGGTCTTTTTTTTTTTTTTGGTTTGGTTTGGGGTTTCCTGCCAGGTCTGATGAAACCAAAGGGAGAACCAGCACCAGATAAGAAATTCCAGCCTCTGGCTGCTCCTCCAAGACAAGTCCAGGTTAGAGGGGCATTGAGAAGTCATGTCACCTTCCGGGGTGGCAGACACCCTTCATTTAGTCCTTGTGCAGAATTACTTTTGGTTCTGATTTTTTCCTAGGTTGTAACAGCAAAGGAGCAGAGGGGCCACGAGAGCAATGGTGCCCTTCAAAGTGGTGGCAGTCAGTGGGGGTCCTCAAAGGCTGGAGACAGAAGGGGGCTCTGCTGAGGAAAGGCTCAAGAGCTGCTTGGGAGGGGCCAAGCAGCTGCCTGATGTGTAGGACCCAGTGTGAAGTGCGGGTGGGGGTCTCTGGGTCAAACCTCAGGACACTCTCAGGACAGTTACTAAAATGCTTTCCTTTCTCCTGTGGTCTCTCCACAGCTTGTTATGGCAGATTTTGCTCCTTAACGCTGTTACTAGGTAAAATTAAAATTTTGAACTATCGGCATTAATTTTATCATCTTTATATTGTCTAATTCCAGTTTTAGCTGCAAATAGAAAACACTTAACTCATGCAGAATCACCAAAATTACATAGTTTGTATTTCATAGCTTATGTGTACATATTATGTGCATATGTATTCTTACAACTGTGGAAACACTGCATAAAACTAGCTCAAATCTTGTTATTTCACTTCCTGATATGTACACATTCTATCAACACTTTCAAATTACTGATGAATAAGAAAGTTCTGGGGGAAAAACTGAGCTGCTGTACATTTTTCTTTCCTGTGTCATCTCCAGCATCAATGGTCGGCTGACACAGACAGTGACACGAGCAAGAAAGAACATGTTAGGGTTCCGAGGTCGTCCCTGCTTCTTAGAATGCCATCGCCTGCCTTGTGCTCACATCCGTTCTGGTTCAAATAGAGAGCAAGGCCTCTGGGGGCTCTCAGTGCCCCACCTGCCCAATTTTATTCATGACGTGCTAACTTGTGCTCTGACCATCTGGACATTCACACAAGGTGGGCCCACAGGAACTCGGTGCTCTCCGGCTTTGCGAAGGCGCTCAGTGAAGGTGGACGGAGAGAACGGTGGACATACGTCTGGCACATCTCTCCTCTTCTCAAGTGTGTGCTCCTTCGCCTCATCAGACTTCATTTAAAAAACAAATGCCAAGATGAAATTAAAACCTACGAGACAGACAGGGACAGGAGTGTGACGCCCGTAAAGCTGGCCCTGGTGACGGACAGAAGGAGCACTCCTCGAGAAAGGCCGCCAGCAGAATGGAGGCTAACTGGGTTACACAGGGAGAACTCACCAATGAGATGGATGTTTAGAGAGTGAAGCAGTTAAAATGGCAATAGGCTATCCTGTAAGTCAACTGTCCCCCCAAAAGACTTGGTTGGGATCACCAAATGGGAAGAAGTGGCAGAATGTCTCTGGAGAGAAGGGTGCGTTTTTGAGAGCACGCAACATCGATCACAGAATTCCCCTTTGAGGACGAGAACTCCCACGGCTCAGAGTTCCCTGGTCAGGGAGTGGGCACTGCTCGAAGTTCCTGATGGAGTAAACGGTAGTCTAAAGCAATTTTATACACAAATTTCACACAAAACCTACATGTGAAATGAATAAACACCAACAAAGTACATGCAAAGGTGTGTCCTCAGATCTGGGCAAATAACCACAAGTAGCTATTGAAGCTCAATAAAATAAAAGCTTCTCCGTAGTCTACTGGCATTTCCAGTGTTCGACACTCACACAGGTCTCATGGCCACCATGTGGAAGAGCACGCACGAGATTTCCAGCACCACAGAAAGTTCCACTGGGCAGCCCTCTCAGACTATCCCTGCACTGTGTGTTCATTACAACTTTCAGAATAAGTCTGCTGCAAAGCCTTTTCCCACAATGTTATACTCAACAAAGAAGAGAGACGTTAACCTGATTTAAGACGCTTTTCTTCAACACACCATCCTTTCCTACTTTATATGTTTTGACAACTCCCGGCTTCCAGGGAAAGCCAGGGATGAGAAGAGTCAGCACGATACTGCTTACCTTGGGAAACTGGCCTCGTCCCAGCTGCAGCGTGTGCTGCGCTGAGCCTGCACTCTGTCCACGTGGCGCTCAGAGTCACCAAAGCAGCTCGGCCTCTAGGCCTCCACGCGTCTCCAGTGGGGAAAGCTGACAGAGATGAAGGGACAGGTTTGCATCTTAAAGCAGCTCATCTCTGCCCTCCGGAGGAGCGGGTGAGCCTGGCTTTGAGGACACCTGAGCTCAGAAAGGATCACTCAAGAAATAACATTTCTCACCCTGGCTGGTGTAGCTCAGTGGATTGCGCATGGGCTGCAAACCAGAGGGTCTCAGGTTCGATTCCCAGTCACAGCACATGCCAGGGTTGAGGGCCAAGTCCCCAGTGGGGTCCACGGGAGAGGCAACCACACACTGATTTTTCTCCTCCTCTCCCGCTCCCTCCCCCTTTCTCTAAATAAATAAAATCTTTAAGAAAAAAAAATGACATTTCTCAAAGTACCAGATATTCCTCTAGAAACTATTGTTACTTCTTTTTTTTCTCCACAGCATAAAGAGTAGCTAAGAACATCTTGTGGACCAACCAGGAGAAGAACACAAAAAGCCCTTAAAAGAGTTCTAATCCAGCTAAGAGACCTCATCCCTCAAGCAAAAGCCATAAGGGACACACTACTAGGACAAGGTTAATAAGATGGAAAAGCAGCTTACCTTTACCAAGTCTCCAGTTCCCAACTTCACACTTTAGACTTTACTTGTAAATGAGGTCATCCCTTGGGATACAGGTGGGTACAGTTGGCTCCTGAGGGGTCTGCATTGTTAAGTGCCTCGTGCTCCCCGAGGCACAGCTCCCACAGGTGGCTCCAGCCCACAGCCCCACAGGTTCCAGAGCAGCGTAGGATCCCAGGATATAGGCTTATCGAGCAAGTTAGTAAGAAACTATTTTTCTTTAAATATTTGATTCTAAGACAGACTGCTGTGGCCTTAATTACTGTCTTCACAACTCATGTTTTAGACCATTCAAAAAAATGGGAAATCACCTTCAATATTATAAAATCAATCCAAAATAGGAAGAATTCAATCAAGTATAAGACATTCAAAAATCAGCCTTACCAAAGTACTGAGACTCAGCCAATGAAGGCCCCGGGATTTTTTTTTTAAACCTCATCCAAGGACGTGTATTTATTTGAGAGAGAGAAACATCAATCAGTTGCCTCCCACACGTGCCCTGCCTGGGGATCGAACCCATCTTTTTTGGAGCACGATGATGCTCCAACCAACTGAGCCACCCGGCCAGGGTGAAGGCCTTGGATTTCCTGTGGGTTATACAATAAAAACTACCCTTATGTTGTCATGAAAAATACATTTGTTTCTTAACACAAGTTTATAAAGTTTAATCCAACAGTGAACTTATATATATACATATGTTTATTTAGGAAGTTGTATAAATTTGCACAACCCTGACCATTTCAGGACAGTTTTTCTTCCAAAAACGGATGTTATTTTTTCATACCTGCTGAGAGGGGCTGCTGGGTTAGAACCCCATTTCCTTCCATGGAGGATGGGTGAAGCTGGGAATGGACTCCATTATTCCCTTGCTACTTCCAGTCTTTTGCCTCACCTTTAAGTGAAGAAGCGCTCTGATGTTGATTACTCAAGTCTATCAGTGGCTGCTGTGTGCTGAGTCCCAGTAAAAATGACCTTGTCTAAACCAGCATATCACCAAGGACCCTTTTTTTCAGGAACTGGATAAAGCATCTACGAAAACCCCCAGGCAGCCAGCTTAACTTATATGAAAGTTGGAGTTTACCAGAATATAATTATTCCACTGAGTATGCAACTCAAGTGTTTTTGGACAAGGCAACTGCTTCATTTTCCCAACCTACTCCCTGCCCAGAAGTACCTGGCTGTCCCTCAGTGGACCCCCTCCCAGAGAGCAGTGCAGCTGTGACAGCACTTACAGACAGACACTATTAAGAGGCAGGGACTCTCTCTAAAGGAAAATGAGCTCTCTGGTTTATTTTCTGAAAGAGCAAAAGCCAATGCCTCTGCTTAGCTGGGTCAACCGACCAGCCCGAGCACTGCAAAGCTATTACAGAGGAGCAGCAGGCACCTCCTTACCTCGTGGCTGATGTAATGCATGTGTGTAAAATATCCTTGACATCTGACCAAAATCTGTTTCCTCCTAAACCAGGTAACCTAAAGTTTCTACCTAAAGGAATAGACCAAAATGTGTTAAATAGAAAGTGGTTGTCTAGCCCTCCAGTGGGAGATGAGGAGGTGAAGGTGCTGGAGTCTCGGAAGGCCTGGGGGCTGGCACCTGCAAACCTGTCTTCCCCACCGGCCACGAGCAAGCAGCCTGCAGCATGGAGCCCCAGAGGCGCGGTGGGGCCGGCGCCCACCGATCCCGAACGGTCCTGGTGAACTGTGATGTCACAGGCGCTCCTCGGTAATGGTCAGGATGTGCTCTTTTTCATTCTCAGGTGTTGCATCCGATTATCCATCCAATTTATTTTCCTGTACATGTAAGTGCTCTACTTATAAATCATTAAACATTCCGGAAACAAATCTTTGTTGCTGACCCAGTGGTTAGGGATAATTTCTACTATGTCAACAGCTGCAATGGGGCTTGAACTACAAAATCGTAAATCTGTACTTCAGGTGGATCTTCCTAAAGATTCTTTTTAAAGACAATAACTTAGTGTTCATTAGGACAATATAAAAGCTTGGCCCTCCCTGGGATGCCCATCAGTAGCCCACATAATGTCTCGCCCTGTCCTTTTGCCCATGAGTGGGATCATTCCATCACAAACTCACACATGATGACTCTGAGCTTCTGAACCTTTCCTGCTTCTGTTGGACATAGATGGGCGGATGGGTGGGTGGATGAAGAGAATGTCAATTATTAATAGTTGATGTGAAATGTGTGCATAACCATCAACACTTACCAAGAGGAATGTAGATGGTGCTGCCACTTTGCACACACCCCGGCCCCAGGATTGGCTTGGTCAGGGTGGGGCTGACGGCTCCCACCCACCAGGCCCATCACGGGTCAGTCTGTCCTGCTTGTGTGGGCTAGACACAGAGCTGAGTGTCAAACTAACAAGCCATCTTAAACCAGTGAGACCAGCCAGGACATACCACTCCCTAGATCGCGTCCTTGGGGACAGATACTTAGCATCGCTCATCCTCAGTTTCTTCCTAGGCAAAATGAAAATGCAGAGTGGCAATAAGGGTTATATAAAATAATACATAACAAATGCCCCCACACAGATGCCTTTAATAAAAACTTTAACTATTTAAAAAATCATTCAGGAAGTCCAATTTCCCTTTCCTGAATTGCTTAGCAAACACAATGGATTTTTCTACAAAGTAGACTCTTTAAAAAAAAATTGATGAGATATTTTAACATCATGGACCTTCACTGCAATTGCAAAGATATTGTGTCCCTTACCCTGGGCAACTGGGTGCTTTTGATTGTTACTTACCTCTCTGACAAAATGCATACCTAGCTGCACGTGGCTGGTTAAACTAAATTTTAATTTTACCTAACAACCACCTCTCATGGCCCCAGGTAAGTTCCCTAAGGGGAAGGATCACAACTGTCCTCCCAGCCGAGTCCCCTGCCCCCGGCACAGGGACACCTGCAATACAGGCCCTCAGTACATACTTGTGACTGGTGTTATGTTATTTTTCTGGAGCTGCCACAACACATTACTACAAAGAGGAGCTTAAAACAACAGAAATTTATTCTCTGATAGCTCCGGAGACCAGAAGTTCAACATCAGTTTCAACAGTGTCCCTGGACCAGAATCAAAGTGTCACTGGGGTGCTACACCAGAGACTCCAGGGATAGCTTGTTCCTCACCTCCTCCCAACTTCCAGTGGCCGCTGGCATCCCTTGGCTTGTGGCCACATCACTTTAATCTCTGCCTCTGTCTTCACAACTTCCTCTCCTCTCCCATGTGTATCAGATCTCCCTCTGCCTCTCTCTGACAAGGACCTTCTGATTGGATTAGGGCCCACCTACAAAACCCAGGATAACCTCCCCATGTCTAAGCCCTTAACTTAGTCACATCTGCAAAGACTCTTTCTTATAAAGTAACACAAAGGTTCCCACAGTTGGAACCTGCTGTGGTTGGGTGGCCCTTAATTACAGTAGTACCTAGTGATACACCACGCCAGGTTGGTGAACTCAGAAAGAGTGGACTTGGGAGCTGTGAACAATGAGGCAGACACCTGCAGGCTGGGAGTTTGGAAACCAGGCCTCCTGTAACCCCTGCTTCCCCCCGGCACTGTGTTCATTATGGACTCAGGAGAAAACAAAACAGGGTCTCCAGCACTCCATGTCCCTGTGCAACCACCCCTCTATCCCCAAATCCCTAAGTTATTTTTAAAATAGAAAGAAAAAAGCCTTAAGATTCCAGAGAAACCCAAACCCAGGCATCTTTAACAGAAAAGCATTTGTCTTTCCTTATCAGCAGCAATTTCAGCCCAAATTCAGAGTGAGGCACAAGAATATCTACGGTGATGGTCAGCGAGATTAGAAATAGCATCCCATAGGTGTGAGGTGCCTTTCACTTCAATGCTTCTCAAAGGTCTTTTTAAGAAATTTAACCTCCCAGGTCAAACAATGCTAACAGAGGAAGCCAGAGTGAGTGGCAGCAAGGAGAGTGGCAATGAGCAACAGGAAAAATCCTTCAGTTTCACGAAAAAGTGCTAAACCAAGTTCCCAATAAAAAGAAACCCTGTTTACTTAGCTGTAACCAAGAAATTCGTTTAGCTTGCTGCTTACTCTGAGACTTTAATTCTTAAAATAAAATTAACATTAGATGTATTCAGTCACTTCCTTCCAATTGTGACCTTTTATCCTAAAGCAATAATTCAGCAGAACACCTAGGGCCCCTATAAGGGCATCAAAGTATTTGTTCATTAAACTGTGAGAAAAACGCGACTTCCTTTTTTTGTGCATCATGATCCCCAGTGATTCAGACTTTCTATGTCTGTATTCAGTGCCAAGGCAAATAAACACTCGCAAACCACTAAACCATATACAGAATATTACATTATTTAGAACCATAAGGAAATAAGCATTAATACCTAATGCCTTTTAAGAAAGTGATGAAATAAACTCAATTGTCTGTAACATACAGACCTAACTCTTGCAGGTCCCGGGCTCTCCTGGGGTGCTCACATTCATCATGTATTTCTTGACAAATGCCTGCTGGAAAGAGCTCCCTGTTGCTCAATAAGTGAGGATGCAGAAGAGGGCGGGGGGAGGTGGGTGCACAGTCACAGAGGCCTGTGGGGTGAATCTGTGCTCTTTGGCTGTTTAGACAATACAACTGCATCTTGCCTAGAAATCACGCCCAGATTTGGCAATGCAGAGTAACAGAGGCGCTGAGAGTCAAGCGAAGGTAGAATCAGTGACACGATGATCTTTCGACCCCCCACATACCTGCTGCAGTGGTTTTCCTTGTTCTGTTTTCAGAGACAAGAGTTTCTTCACAGGGAGCCATGTGACCTTGGACCAAGTGACCTTCAGTGCAGGGCTCAGCTACCACACGGGCAGTGGCCCCTTCTGCGTGGCTCTGCCATTGCTAAGAGCCCCTCACAGCACCTCCCACTCTGGACACCTTAGCTTCTGATGACCTGTACTGAGTGCCAAGGATGACACTCGTCATTCTCTGTAGTTAGAAGGTTCAATTTCCATTTTGTTTTGGTGACTTGGTAAGTTTTTTGAGAAAATGAATTTTTACATAAAGAAGTGAGTGAGTGAGTTGCAGAATAGTTCAGATCTTTGAAATGCTACTCTAATTTTTGCTTCCATATTGCAATGGAGCAAAACAAAGCATGCACATAAGGTTATTGCTAGCTCGTCCTGCAACAAACCCCAAAGCCTTAATTCATCAGGAGTTACAAAGAGCACCTTGTCAGAGCTTCTCATCCTAGTAACAAGAACAAAAACCCACAGGGCCTGGCTCATTCTGAGCCAGGGTCCTTTTGGTGAATCTGAGAATAGGTTTTGCTGATCCAGAAGGAGGAAGCCTATGGAGCTGTTTAAGGTCCTCCAGCCAAGAGAACGAAAGTTTCTGGTTATGACATTAAACTCTTTATTTAGTATTTGAAACATGGTGTACATTTATGAGTTCGTATAAACATTTAGTACATCTAAAATCCACAACTGGTAAACAATCTGTGCTTTCTTCTGTGTACAATTTTGGAGTTTACATCTGGATATTTTGGTGTGGTGGAGAGACCCAGTCTGTGAATCTAATCCAATTGCCTCATAATGACCATAGTAACTGTGACAGAAGTGATTTGCTCCTTAAAAGGGCTGTTCCTTGCACAGAAAAGGCGTCACACTTTGGAACTACTAAACCAGGTATCACGGAAACAAGAGGAACACAGCCGACACAATGAAGAAAGTACGTGAAGGAGACTCCCACAGATCCGTGTTGGCGCACAGCGCACAACACAGCCACACGGTGACGCCGAGAAACGAGAAACGGCGCTCCCTTTCAGAGCCTCCAGGTGTTCACGTGCAGTCTCCCCGCCCCCACGGGAGGGACTCTGTCCTGCAGGAGCACGCAGTCCGCTCAGGCACACTTCTCAGGGCGCCCACGGATGTCACAGCTGCAACTCCGAGGTCCCCACCAGGCCCAGGGCTCTGGCTTCTTCTGGAGTCAGGCCGCTCTTCAGGGTCCGCCGCACTGCCGAGGTGTGAGCAGGTCGCAAAGGGAGGAGAAGAGAAGGAGGTTAGCAGCCAGGCATAGGGATTTTGGCCCAGCAGCCCTCATTCCCCGAGGACTCCCAGGGGAGTCTCGGGGCTCACAGAGGCTCAGCCGGTCCTGCTCCTGCTGGAGTGCCCTGGCTGACTATCTGCCAGGGCAGGAAAACTCTTGGGGCTGCAAGAAACTGACCTGAAAATGCCACAGGCACTGACCCGGAGAGCCGAGAGGAGGGGGCACCTTGTAAGGGAAGAAGGGAGAAGAGGCCCGTCCCTCCAGAGTCTGAGAAATTGGTGCAAGCTGCAGAAGTGCACACGCATGTCGAGAACCCCACCTCTGACCAGCGCAAGGACTGGGTCAGAGGCGGGAAGGTGATCACAGAGCCTAAGGGAATGTGAGTTCCCGTGACACAAGTCAGGTGTAAGATAACCCCACAGAGGGGGACAGAACGAAGAACCCATGGCCTGGGACAGCAAGGTGTTAAGAGCACCCAGAGCAGAGGGACAGCAGTCAGGGTGAGTCTGTGAGCATCGTGGGTCTCAGTCCCAAGCATCAAAGGGCCTCTAGCGAGAATGACAAGGGACTCCTTGCAGACTGGATGCCAAGTAGCGAACTGCCAAACTTCTGGGTGGATTTGGTGGATATTCCCTGGGAAATACACAAGGCTCAGGAAGGACCAATGACCCCTTCCCTGGGGCTTACAACTGGCCATCAGGAGAACACTCATATTTCATTGACTTAGTATTGGCTTCTGTGCAACCTGGCATTGTGGATTTTCCCACTGCTCAGGGCTGATCAGTTTTGATGCCCAAATAAAGGCCAGATAAGGGTGAGTGAGGAGACAGCTGCCTCTTCCAAGGCAAGTCCCTTCCTTTGAAAGCTTGACTAATCACATTCCCCTTAACTGATCAACTGTGTTCAGTATATCCTATACGTAAGATCATACAGAGTTTGGGGTACCTCTTCTATTTTCAGAAAAGGTGTGGTACAAATCTACCTTCCATACTAAATCCTAAAACAGCCAAAGTCCCTCAGATGATGAGAACCCAGAGAAAGTAAAGCTCACCCTTAGTATCTTCCCATCTTCCCTCACCAGACCCAGTTCCCTAAACCTGTTCTGTGCCCATGGACCTGTGTTCTCTGAGGCCTCCCAGAGGCCAGGGCTGCACCTTGTATGTCTTTAGGCAACACCCAACATTCTGTGTCTCCCCATCACCCCCTGGGAAAAAGCCCACTTAGTCTGTGCACAGAGGACCTGAGAGCCCCACACCTATGGCAGAATGAACAGGGGCCAATATCTACTAATAAATAGTTTCTTCTCTCCCAGGAATTGGTGTTTTGAACCAGGGCCAACGCCTAATCCATCAACTGGTCAATCAACAAATACTTATGGAGAACCGACCGTGTGCTCAGCACCTCACTCAAAGAACCAACACACTTCTGGAAGGCTCACAGACATCAAGTGTAGGTTTTTACAGAGATACAAAAACCTGTACATGCCCCCAACACACACTACTTTATCCCCGAGCCTAGTGCCGGGCCCTGAGCTGCCCATCTGCAGCTGCTCCTGTACTCTCGCCCTCCCCCATCCCCGCCCCCTGGGCTCCAGACTGAGTGTCTAACTCATGCAGACAGAATGCTTGGCTCCAGAGCCTTGGCTGGAGGCAGATCACATTGAACTGAGTAATGGAATTTGTTCTATGGGGCCGCAATAAAAATACTAGTCTGTAATACTCTTTTATGTCCTTTAAACACTCCTTCAAGTGTTTGTTGAAGAAAGATAATTTTAATGGCAGAAAATAAGATAAAATGTTTCTCATTCTTAACAAGGACTACTAGGACCTCTTACCCAAGACACAAGGTTCTGCCTAAGACATCCACGCCACACTAGCAGGATGTCTCACATGTCACCAGCTGCGGAAGGTGGCACGGCCGTGCGTCTCCGAACCACAGTCTTTGTGCCTTGAGGTGAACATGCTTGGCCAAATGATGGCAGAAGACTCCCTAAAATGCCCTTACCCATATGGCGTTTAAAACTCTGCTTTACGCCCTGGCTGGCATAGCTCAGTGGATTGAGCGCAGGCTGCAAACCAAAGTGTCGCAGGTTCAATTCCCAGTCAGGGTACATGCCTGGGTCGCAGGCCATGGCCCCCAGCAACAGCACATTGATGTTCCTCTCTCTCTCTCTCTCTCTCTCTCTCTCTCTCTCTCTCTCTCCCCCCCCACCCCTCCCTTCCCTCTCTAAAAAAAATAAACAAATAAAATCTTTAAAAAAAACACACAAAAAAACCCTGCTTTACCACTTCTGGCCATACATTGGCTTTACTCCTGTAACTGTAGCGTTTGGTTCAGGCAAATACTTGAGCAAGAACTCTGGCACCTTATACATGTGGGCCTTGGGCCAGCCTCTCTTGGACAGGCTGCGAGAACAGAACAAAGGTGCTTTGCCAGCCTTACTGCCGGACAACAGGGAGACTGCCTTTGGCATCATGGTCTGCTCGAAGTTTTCATGCACCAGACCCCTTGGGACGCACCCACACCTTTTCCGCATGGACTTATGTGCTCTCCGCTTCAGGGAAAATCAGTGTAGGCCACGGTCCCTTTGCTTGCCAGATGTGTCCCTGAAAACTGAGTCTTCCTAGAAGAGTCTGTCCTATCTACAGAATCCTTTCTGTAGGCCTCAGATTAATTCTCTTGCAACAAATACAATAATAAATATAATAACCCCATAATAAACACACATGTATTAGCCTTCCAAAAGAACCTGTATCCTTTCTTCGTGAAAGCGTTAATTCACATTACCACTTAAAGGAGGTGTGAAATAAAGGGAATTGGTTGAAATCGGTTTTGTACCCCAATTCACGTCACGCATGGAAAGGGCTCTTTGGGTGTCCATTTATCCATCTGCCTGCTCATCAGTTCACTCAGCCATTCAGCAAACGTTGCTTGAGCCAAGTATTGCCATCGTGGGGGGTGGCGGGGGGCTGACTGGGACATGCTGTGAAGAATTTGCAGACCCTGTCCAGACAGGGAGCTGGCTCTCACTCCCAAAAGCAAAGGAGGGCTGGGGACACACGAGAATGAGGGGACCAGCAAACGGAGTTTGGCAGGATGTGGGAAATGTACAACAGAAACAAGTCTTCCATCACACAGAGAGGATTTCTCAAGTGCCGGGGGTAGGGGGGCGGCTTACATCTGACACGATAATGTCTGGGCCCCGCTGCACTCCCCGTTCCCGCTCCCCCCTGAAATGCTCTGGCCGGAGCTCCCCAGCCTGTCCCATGCGACTGCCTCCCCTCCCCGCAGCCACTTAACAGAGAACAGACCGAGGAAATGTTTATCCCTGTCTGCCTCGAAGCTCCTCCAAAGCAGCTCCTCCAAAGACGGCGTGGGTCACTTCGCTGGCACCCACGGCCACTCTGCACCAGGCGCTGTGACGGCTCTCACGCAGCAGTGACAGCAGTGGGATCTGACACAGGGGCGCCTCTGTGTCAACATGCAGCACAGGGCGACTGTGGACTCGAACAAAACCTAGGTTCTTCTCGTTTCCCACCTCCCTTGGAAATGAGAACAAACTTTAATCCTACAAAGTGCTCTCACGTGACCCTTTGCTAAAATGAGTTGAATCTGAGAATAATGGCAGTGGGGGCCGGTTTGCTGAGCCGGAGCATGGATTATTCCATTCGATCTTTGTCGAAAGCCTACGAGATGGGTATCTGCACAGTAAGTGAGTAAATGGCAGAGACCGAGTCCCGGCCCAAGGGCACACAGGGAGTGGTGGAGAGGAACCTGAGCCAGGGCATTTGACTGAGCCCAGCCCGAAACAGCCATGCCCTGCCGAAGCCTGGCAGGGCACCGCCTGCTCATCTTTCACAGGGATGCAAAATGCACCGTGTTTTACTTCCAGGGCACAGAAGTCTATTTTTTGCCTCCTTCACCTATGGCTCACTGACAGATTGCTTTTCACTTTTTGCATGTAGTATCAAACAATGGAAATAAATTGGATTTTTGTAATTTCTAAGATTCTAAGGATTTTCTACCACATACACTGCAGGTGGTGTGTCTAAGATAAAGGGGACTAATGGAACTTCAAGGTTGTGCACGGATGGGTCCTGTGGTTGGGTGGTAACTGGCCCTGCTGCTACTCAGACCTGTGCATTCGTATGCCCCCTGTTCCTCCAGGGACCCGGCTGCTGAGAGGGGAAAAATGCTGGGTCCAGGCGTGCCCTTTGGACTTAAATGTAGGAAATTGTTTTAAGGTGTATAGTCCTTAGTGATTCAATGTTAAATTTTCTGTGAGGTTTTGGTTTTGGTCAAAGTCAATTATTTAACCGTTTGAGGTTTTTTTCCCTTATTTCCACCCTCCATCTGTCTCTCTCTCTCTCTTTCTCTTTCTTTGGACTCATAAAATCCTATACATTAAAAGCACAGGCTTCCTAAATTGACAGGCATTCCACAAAGTGGACCAGTACTTTTCAAAAGTGTCAAGGTCCTGAAATGGCCTCCCCAGGCAGGAGGAGACCTGATGCCTCCCTGCAGTGTGAGGCCCTGGGCGGGCGCATGGAGCAGAGAGCACTGCGGTGGGAAAGCTGGCGGAAGCCGAATCAAGCCTCCCTGTGAACAGGACTGTGCTGATTGGTGTTCCTTCCTTACTTTCAATAAACTGCCCTGTACTGTGCAAGGTGTTAACAGTAGGGCAACCTGGGGAAAGGACATAAGGCAACTCTCTGTGCTATTTTTGCAACATTTCTATAAGCATAATTTTTTCCAAATAAAAACTTTAAGAAGTGGAAATTGAACAACAAGCCGAAGTTCTCAAACTTCACAGCACCCAGCTTGACTTCTGAGACTCAGCCCAGGCGCACAGAACAAAGGTCTCATGGAGAGGCCCACACGCTGCTTTTTAACCTTCCTAGGAGAATCGAATGGCCAGCCAGGGTTGGGGTCCCTGACTTCAGTCATTGCCATGTGACCCAGATGCA